TTCGTTTGTGGCAAGCACTTGAGAAGAGTTGAGACCCAGCAAGGCTCCCCTGGACTAACACGCACTCAAGAGCCTGTTAACCGTATTTAATGCCAACAGTCATGGCCACGTGGAGCCTGACAAGTTACAATAATCACGCCCTCTCTTATTGTGGGCTGGGAGTAGTGGCCCAATGGTGAGCACGCTGCTCTCTGAACCCGGTCAACCGAGTTCGATTCCCGGCCAGCGACGTCTAACATGGCGCCGCGGTGGCTACGAAATGTTAACTACCTCGCCTGGTATGCAGGAGGTCGCGGGTTCGATCCAGACCCTGACGATGCCTGCTGTATATTTGGAGTTTGCATGCCTCTCTCTCTCTCTCTCCACGTGGTCGCGTGGATTTTTCTCCCGGTCCTCCGGTTTTCTCCCTCCACATTTATAATCAGCATGTATTTAAGAGTATTTGGCTGCGATACATTTCCACATGATAAGCCACTTCGTTGAGCTATCATTTGTAGCCAGCTCACCTTTGAAAGAGACACGTGATCTGGAGTCTCCACAGAGAGGCCCCCTGGTGGGGGGACTAGGGGGTGATCACGTGTCCGGGGAGAGCTCTCGAGATGGGATCGGGCGGGAGCTAGAAGGCTCCAGAAGGTGGGCGGGGCCAAGGGCGGAGCAGCCACGACCGTCGGGGGATATAAGGTGGGTCCCTAGGAGGGACCGGGGTCGCTGCATTCTACAAGCTGGAAGCTCAACATCTACAAGCGGGAAGCTCTACACCTACAAGCTGGAAGCTCAACATCTACAAGCTGGAAGCTCAATGTCTACAAGCTGGAAGCTCAACATCTACAAGCTGGAAGCTCCACGTCTACAAGCTGGAAGCTCAACATCTACAAGCTGGAAACTCAACACCTACAAGCTGGAAGCTCAACATCTACAAGCTGGAAGCTCAACATCTACAAGCTGGGAGCTCAACACCTACAAGCTGGAAGCTCAATGTCTACAAGCTGGAAGCTCAACATCTACAAGCTGGAAGCTAAATGTCTACAAGCTGGAAGCTCAACATCTACAAGCTGGAAGCTCAACATCTACAAGCTGGAAGCTCAACACCTACAAGCTGGAAGCTCAATGTCTACAAGCTGGAAGCTCAACGTCTAAAAGCTGGAAGCTCAACACCTACAAGCTGGAAGCTCAACATCTACAAGCTGGAAGCTCAACACCTACAAGCTGGAAGCTCAACATCTACAAGCTGGAAGCTCAACACCTAAAAGCTGGAAGCTCAATGTCTACAAGCTGGAAGCTCAACGTCTAAAAGCTGGAAGCTCAACACCTACAAGCTGGAAGCTCAACATCTACAAGCTGGAAGCTCAACATCTACAAGCTGGAAGCTCAACACCTACAAGCTGGAAGCTCAATGTCTACAAGCTGGAAGCTCAACGTCTAAAAGCTGGAAGCTCAATACCTACAAGCTGGAAGCTCAATGTCTACAAGCTGGAAGCTCAACGTCTACAAGCTGGAAGCTCAACACCTACAAGCGGGAAGCTCAACATCTACAAGCTGGAAGCTCAACGTCTAAAAGCTGGAAGCTCAACACCTACAAGCTGGAAGCTCAACATCTACAAGCTGGAAGCTCAACATCTACAAGCTGGAAGCTCAACACCTACAAGCTGGAAGCTCAATGTCTACAAGCTGGAAGCTCAACGTCTAAAAGCTGGAAGCTCAATACCTACAAGCTGGAAGCTCAACGTCTAAAAGCTGGAAGCTCAACACCTACAAGCTGGAAGCTCAATGTCTACAAACTGGAAGCTCAACGTCTACAAGCTGGAAGCTCAACACCTACAAGCGGGAAGCTCAACATCTACAAGCTGGAAGCTCAATGTCTACAAGCTGGAAGCTCAACACCTACAAGCTGGAAGCTCCACGTCTACAAGCTGGAAGCTCAACGTCTACAAGCTGGAAGCTCAACATCTACAAGCTGGAAGCTCCACGTCTACAAGCTGGAAGCTCAACGTCTACAAGCTGGAAGCTCAACACCTACAAGCTGGAAGCTCAACGTCTCAAGCTGGAAGCTCAACGTCTACAAGCTGGAAGCTCAACGTCTCAAGCTGGAAGCTCAACGTCTACAAGCTGGAAGCTCAATGTCTACAAGCTGGAAGCTCAACATCTACAAGCTGGAAGCTCAACGTCTCAAGCTGGAAGCTCAACGTCTACAAGCTGGAAGCTCAATGTCTACAAGCTCGAAGCTCAACACCTACAAGCTGGAAGCTCCACGTCTACAAGCTGGAAGCTCAACGTCTACAAGCTGGAAGCTCAACATCTACAAGCTGGAAGCTCCACGTCTACAAGCTGGAAGCTCAACGTCTACAAGCTGGAAGCTCAACACCTACAAGCTGGAAGCTCAACGTCTCAAGCTGGAAGCTCAACGTCTACAAGCTGGAAGCTCAATGTCTACAAGCTGGAAGCTCAACACCTACAAGCTGGAAGCTCCACGTCTACAAGCTGGAAGCTCAACGTCTACAAGCTGGAAGCTCAACATCTACAAGCTGGAAGCTCCACGTCTACAAGCTGGAAGCTCAACGTCTACAAGCTGGAAGCTCAACACCTACAAGCTGGAAGCTCAATGTCTACAAGCTGGAAGCTCAACGTCTACAAGCTGGAAGCTCCACCACCTACAATGCTGGAAGCTCAACATCTACTACAAATGGAAGCTCAACACCTACAAGCTGGAAGCTCACCAGCTACAAGCGGGAAGCTCAACACCTACAAAGCTGGAAGCTCAACACCTACAGCTGGAGCTAAACATCTACAAGCTGGAAGCTCAACACTACAAGCTGGAAGCTCAACACTCAAGCTGAAGCTCAACATCTACAAGTCTTGGAGCTCAACATCTACAAGCTGGAAGCTCAACACCCTTACAAGCTGAAGCTCACATCTACAAGCTGGAAGCTCAACATCCTACAACTGAACTCCACGTCCTCAAGCTGGAAGCTCAACATCTACAAGCTGGAAGCTCAACACCTACAAGCTGGAAGGGCATCAACATCTACACTGGGAAGCTCCACGACGTCTACAAGCTGGAAGCTCACTGTCTACAGCTGGAAGCCTCACATCTAAAGCTGGAAGCTCAACATCTCAAGCTGGATAGCTCAACTGTCTACAAGCTGGAAGCTCACACGTCTACAAGGCTGGAAGCTCAACATCTACAAGCTGGAAGCTCAACACCGTCCAAGCTGGAAGCTCAATGTCTACAAGCTGGAAGCTCAACACCTACAAGCTGGAAGCTCAATGTCTACAAGCTGGAAGCTCAACACCTACAAGCTGGAAGCTCAACGTCTACAAGCTGGAAGCGTAACATCTTCAAGCTGGAAGCTCAACACCTACAAGCTGGAAGCTCAACGTCTACAAGCTGGAAGCTCAACACCTGCAAGCTGGAAGCTCAACATCTACAAGCTGGAAGCTCAACATCTACAAGCTGGAAGCTCAACACCTACAAGCTGGAAGCTCAACATCTACAAGCTGGAAGCTCAACACCTACAAGCTGGAAGCTCAATGTCTACAAGCTGGAAGCTCAACGTCTACAAGCTGGAAGCTCAACACCTACAAGCTGGAAGCTCAACACCTACAAGCTGGAAGCTCAATGTCTACAAGCTGGAAGCTCAACGTCTACAAGCTGGAAGCTCAACACCTACAAGCTGGAAGCTCAACATCTACAAGCTGGAAGCTCAACGTCTACAAGCTGGAAGCTCAACACCTACAAGCTGGAAGCTCAACATCTACAAGCTGGAAGCTCAACATCTACAAACTGGAAGCTCAACGTCTACAAGCGGGAAGCTCAACGTCTACAAGCTGGAAGCTCAACACCTACAAGCTGGAAGCTCAACACCTACAAGCTGGAAGCTCAACATCTACAAGCTGGAAGCTCAACATCTACAAGCTGGAAGCTCAACGTCTACAAGCTGGAAGCTCTATGTCCTACAAGGTATCAACACGTGGTCGCAGACCCGAGTGAGGGCCCGTCCCTTCGTAGCAGTAACCCCTCTGCATAGCGTAGTTAGCTGGGTGGCCACTAGCCTGGGCTGTATCTGGTGAAGGGGCAGCTATCCCTTCGTGTCACGGTGTTACAATAAATGTGTTGACTCTAAAAGGAACAACATCTGTGACTCAGTTGGACTCGCTGCACAAGCACCGTAATTATCCAGATTACACGACGCTGCGGAAAATAAGACGCACTCCAAATGCGTGCACGGTGTTAATAAAGTTACACAACTCTGGTCTCTTGCACACGCACACCCACACACACTGTTTCATCAAAATACATAAGGAAGGGGGGGGGGAATGTGGAAGTTCGTCTTATAATCTGGATAAAACGGTAGGTGTCTCCCAGCTCAGGTTTGCGAGGGGTGGGCTCTTAACCTGCGGGAGATGAGAGTGTGGGGGAGGAGATCTTGCAAGCGCGTCTCCTCCTCCCTGCGCTGCTGGCTGGCTCGCTCGCTCGCAGCATCACTACACACTTCACGGCCCGCGCACATCTGCCTGGCCACAGAGCACGGAGCAGGAGACATCCACGTGGAGGAGGAGACGGCCACACGGAGAAGCAGACGGTCACTTTGAGCAGGAGAAATCCACGTGGAGCAGAAGACATCCACGTGGAAGAGGGGACAGCCACTTGGAGAAGCAGACGGCCACTCTGAGCAGGGGACATCCACGTGGAGCAGAAGACATCCACGTGGAGGAGGAGACAGCCACTTGGAGAAGCAGACGGCCACTCTGAGCAGGGGACATCCACGTGGAGGAGGTCACAGACACGTGGAGGAGGAGAGGGCCACTTGGAGCAGGAGACATCCACGTGGAGCAGGAGACATCCACGTGGAGGAGGAGACAGCCACACGGAGAAGGAGACGGCCACACGGAGAAGCAGACGGCCACTCTGAGCAGGGGACCTCCACGCCGCCGGCTCCGCACGTGGCGCGTGCACGTGGCGCGTGCACGTGGCTTCATTCAACCAGACGGCGTCGCGCCACCGCGAGTCTCAGCGCCCGCGACGACACAGACGAACCACCCGACAGCAGCAATCCCATTAACCGCGATCGCCCATGGAGGTCCGCGTCATCTGCTGCTGCTGCTGCCTCGCGATGCTCCTGGCCTCGACTCTGTGCGGTCAGTGATGACGATGATTACGATGACGATGATTACGATGATTCTGACGACGATGACGATGATATCTGTAGTAGACGCCAGCCTGGTGCACACCCCCTTACGACGACGAAGCTTGTGTGTGGTGTTGATCAGAGAATGAATGTCTGAGCAAGTTGCTAGGGCACGTGACGAGCGGTAGCTCCGGCCATAGCGAGATGTGCATACTGGATGTGGCGTGCCGGGCGCCGGAATATTTCCCCGGGGTTACACTGAGCTGGCTGAAATGAAGCTCTGGTATTGATGACGACGATGATGATGATGATGGCGAAGGCAGTGATGATGGAGACAAGTCGTGGCCATCGCGGCGATGACGATAATATCTCAATCTCGAGGGATGCTGGGACCCGTATTGCTTCTTGGATGAGCGACCACCGTGCAAAACGGGAGAAGCCATCGGCCGTGGATGAGGCGGTGGGCAGCGAAGGGCGGTGCAGCAAAGTCGCTTGTTGCGCTGTGCGTTACTTCTACACTCCCATGGCAATGCCTCTCTCCTCTTGTACCATTCCTCATTGGCCGGCGTGGTGAAGTATGGTCAAAATATGTCTAGATTTGAAGCTTTCGTGAATGCAAGGGTTCATATTCTTTGGTTTTTTTGGTAAAGTCACGTAGGTAAAAAATGTAAATTAATAAAATAAAAATAAAAGAAAAATCACGACGTTTCGGAGGCAACACAAGCTTCCGTCTTCAGGTGGAACCGTCACAGCACGATATTTTATTTTTATTTTACTTTTATTAATTTTAATTTTTTACCTACGTGACTTTACCGAAAAAAAACCTAAGAATATGGTCAAAATAGCCCCCGCACGGCGTGGGCCGGTCCTCATCCAGCAGTGGACTGACAAGTGACCGCATGTTACTACGGTACTAGCACTGCTATTTGTTACTGCGGGCAAGCATTGCGGAGTGTATCCCTTAGCGGTAACATCAGCGCATCACGAATACAGGAAAGCCACTAAGTGTGTGTTGCAGCATTTAGGTTCAGTTGGGATCGCTTTGCCGTGATGGTCTCCGTGAGCTGCTGCTGCTGCACTGCGCTGCCGAGTGAACGTAAATAAGTAATGTTTAAAAATACTTTATAACAACACGCTTTCATGAACCGTACGAGTAATGGCAAAACTCCACGACTCCATGAAGTGGCCCCGAAGCTTGCCTTAACGTAAAGGGGCCGTGGTGATTTACAGCCAACGTCGGTTGAGCGTGGACAATTAGACCCAAGACGAAACATATCATACAAAAAAGATTGTTGAAAAATATATTTTTTTCTTTAATTATAGAATAGAGTATTGTCATCAGTATGACATAAGCATACCAAGTTTGCAGTCGATACCACATTGGGAAGTGGTTTAAAATTAAGTTACAATATTTGAGGATACGACAACAACAACAACAGAGTGAGTTAATAGAAAGCGTGTAAAAATATTTGTTCTAATATTTTTCTTTTTTTAATGATAGAATATAGTATTGTCATCAGTAAGACATAAGTATACGAAGTTTGCAGTCGATACCACATTGGGAAGTGGGTTAAAATTGAGTTACAAGATTTGAGGATATAACAACAACAGCAACAACAGACAGAGTGAGTTAAATAAAAGCGTGTAAAGTAATAAAATGCTCTCGCGTGCCAAGTCGGCGTGCTCACCGCCGAGCGGCTCTTGTTCAGATCGGTCAAGAGTTCAAATTCCCACCCCCACCCCCCACTCCCCACCCCCCGGCGGTCGTCGTCATCAACCACGTGCTTATCCACCGCTGGATGAGGAGCTCGCGATCCTTCGTAGCCACTCCTTGCAACGTTGCCACATCTGCGATCCCGTGCGACTCCGGCGAGCTAATCTCATCACTCCGTCTCTGCTGTGGGTCGGCCTCCCAGGTGTGTGTGGGGTTCTTTCCTTTGCCGCAAGTGTGGCGGACGTGGTGGTGACCCAGCCCATGCAGGTGTCCACTCAAAGATGCGCACTGAGAGATGCACGGGCAGAGGGGAAAGGAAAGGCCATGAGACTGAATTGGAACAAGGGGCAGGGAGCCAGCAGTATAGGCGGCTGAGGAATTGGCGAATTCCAGAGCCATGGGCACAGCGGTGGAGATTGGGAGAATGAGCGACTTTCCACTCAGCGAAAAGCTTGGTTGCTGGAGTGACACGTGCTCGGAGGGGAGTGAGATGAGAGGGGGAGGGGCGGACAGCGGCAAGTTCGTGGGTGATCTCGAAGACAGTGAATCGGGTGATCCGGGATTGGATTGGGAGCTAGTGGAGGGCTCTGTCATGCAGTCTGATTTTGAGAAGTCTGAAAGCTTAGGCTGGATAATAATGAGCCCTTTTAACGTGAGGTTCTTAAGCCACAAATTGGTCCATTGACTGTGACCATAAACGGCATGGCCATGTAAATCAGGAGCCCTCGCTCACTCACAATCCCACAACACTCACGCGCAGCAACATAGAGCCACGGGGAGAAGCTACAACTACTCGTGCAGTAGTAATAGGTTTTTACCCTTTCAACTGGTACAAAAACTGACACCTTTATACAAGGCATCATGTTTGCAATAACCACAACACGAGCAGTCAAAATGCAAACAAAAAGAAACAACTCTGATAATGATAATAATATGCACTGTCCTTGAAGTTGAAAGAGTAAAACCCTACTAATATATTTAGCCACTGGTAAAGGAGATGTCTCATGGTACTCGTACAGTGTTTCTGGGTATGACCTCTGGTGTAAATCTTGCTGCAGGTGTGTAACGTGCCCTGTGAAGCGCCTTCATCGCCTGGGCTCTGATCCCAAAACGAGCCTCTGGCTGTGGCCGTCTCTGTTCACGGCTCCGTGCGGTCAGTTTGCTCGCAGATCACTTGATTTTAGTTCAGTTTATTTTTAAGTTCCCTGCAAGCTGAGAAGTTCTTAAGTCGTGTTTCATCAATGAAAACCACACACCGTTTCCGTGACAAAAGTAAACACATTAGAGAAACATAAATGGATTATAAAATTGAATACATGAATGAAGAAATCGTATAATTTCAAATATAAAATGGATATTTTAAAGTTTTTAGAAATTAAGGAATTAAAAAAGTATAACATTGGGCATAAAAATTGCCAGTGGTAAAACACACATTTTCCAAAGAAACGCTAAATTTAAATTTCCAATAAAAATTATAAAAATTGCGTCAACCTGCGGTCCTCGCTGTGCATACGGCCTCGTCCCGAGTCGTACCGACAACATCGGGAGAATCGCTGGCGATTTTACGGTCAGATTAAAAAAAAGCGCTTGGCCTTGCCTCGACCACCGGCTCAATAGAACGGAACGTGTTGTTTATTTCCGGACGACCGACTCAAAGAGTCGCTGTGACGGACCCACGGTAGGCCAGGGCGACCGTGACGTTGATGGCGAGCTCGAGGTCTCGGCGAGGTCTCGGCGAGGTCTCCGTTGACCTCCAGGGCTTCGTCGGGAGGTGTGGATCCGTTCCGTTTCAAATCGCCTCCACCCACAGTGCGAGTCGTCGACTTCTGATCAGCGCTTCAACTTCGCTCAGGCCCCGTCGCGTCACGCTCTACGCACCTGCCCTGCTTACGATGTCACCGCAGGTCACTCTGCAGCCAGCGTCCACATCTCGGAGCCATATGATGGTGGGACCATCTCCCGTCCATGTGACACAAATGCAACTGGGCGAGGGCGACATGAACAATAATGCGTAGGGGACTCTGGCCAATATCTGAACTCGATCTCTCACGATCGGACAGGCCCTGCTTTTCCACCAGCATAGGTAACCCTATCCCCATAATAGGAGGTATAGGGGTGCACTGGCATGTGTGTGAAATAATCATTAGTCGCGGCTGCACGTGGAACCATGGTTCATAATTGCACGGTGTGGGGAGCAGTCGGGTTTAATGAGCAACACTGCACCTCCGATTGGCAGAGTTGGCTCCGTACGGTGCAAAAGAACTTCAACTTATGTGCACGGTAGATTTGGAGTTTTCGTGACTGCAGGGATCCATACTCTTTGGTTCTTTCGGTAAAAGTCACGTAGGTAGAAAATAAAATAAATCACGACGTTTTGATCGCTTGTGTTGCGATGGAAACGTGATTTAGTTGATTCTATTCTATACCTACGTGACTTTACCGAAACAACCAAAGAGTATGTGCATGGCCTTACGACCGTCAATTACCACAGGCGCTGCCTGTGAAGGTGGCACGGAGGGTTCGCGTGCAACTTACACAACTCTCTGTCCCGAACTGTTCCGATGCAAGCCATTGAGTCCGCGACTTCGGCCCCGTGAAGTCTGTTCGAACCCGCACGTACGGACAGACACGTGCGCACTCGTGCGCGGTTACGTACAATACGTGATGCCTTTTCGCACGTTACATTTGTTGTTGTTTTGTTATTCCGATTCTTGTTTAACCAGGAAAACGTCACTTGAGTGAAGACTTTTTATCAGGAGGCTTCTGGCAAGTTTTCACAGGAGGGGGAGGGGAGGCGATCTTGCCGTGTGTGTAATCACCACTGAGTAATTTTGCAGTTAACTTTACAAACATTCGGACGTTTGGCCAACACTAGTTACATTGTATGACTATTATCTATGGGAGGAAATCAGAGAATCCGGAGGAAACCCATGCAGAACAGGGGGAGAAAATACAACCTACACTCAATCACACAACAACAACCGCCATTCGCCACTGAGTGGCGGTGACGTCACGACGATGCTTGTGCCATGCTACGTGCACGTTGAGGCCACGTGAAGTGTCGAACGCCCGCTGGCAGGTCACGGGGTAGACCCAGGTGCCACAGGTCGACTGAGACGACTGGCTGATGCACCACCTTTGCCCCCTACTGTGCCAACTTGCTGTGCTTTAGCCACCCGGCGCTGCGCTCGTTGTTGTGAGCGTCGCTCTTCTGCCCTCCGTTGTTGTTGGAGGGCGACTGCCTCCAGCTGCCCAGTATCAGTGTCCTTCACGAGCCTCCTCCACAGAGGCCGATCTTGGCACCGCTGGTGCCAGTCATCGGCAAGTCCACTCAGCTCCGCATCCTCCTGTACCACATCACTCCATCTCTTCTCTAGCTCCCTTTCACACACTCACTAGAACAGAGGGTGAGAATACAAACTCCACTCTATCACACACTCACTCACACACTCACTCTCACACACTCACTTGAACAAGGAAAGATAATACAAACTCCACTCTATCACACACTCCCTCTGACACACTCACGAGAACAGGGGGAGATAATACACTCAATCAGTTTGAAGAGTGAAACCACAAAAAAAAAGTTGAAAATGTTGTGGTTTCGCTCTTCAACACACCGGTGGGCTAAAGCAGTGAACTCTTTTGTCAACGTGACACTTTTTTGCTGATTGGCCGTGTCGGGTGGTGGAGGGTTACGACACATTTATAAATAACGCGATCTAACCCAAAAACCTTTATTATGAATCATAAAAGTGAGACGAGCTGTGGACATAATTTACATCCTTAGTCACGGCTTGATGCCATGATTCAGTGATCAAAGGAGACAACCGATGAAAGGATTAGAAACCACTCGATCATATGGCGATGGCTCAGTGGTGAGCGCCCTACACTACGGACATGCCAACCTGAGTGTGATTCCTGGCCAAACGGAGCTCGCCACCGACACACACAAATCGTGGCTCAGGACTGGCACCTTATTGAGCAGCCCGACAACTTTAAATATCGAGGCGTCATCCTGGACTCGAACCTGTCTGTAAAGGGCCACAATGAGTACATGGCCAGTAACATAAAAGACAATATTGGATCCCGATACAGAAACAAACGCCGTGTTGCACCTCGACTACTGCGCCTGAATATAGTTAACGCCACCATTCTGCCCATGTTTAATCATTGCGACACCATCAACCCCACCACGCTTCTGAATCCGTGATACTACTCGGCTCTCCGTTATGCCTTTGATGCTCCCGCTATAGAAGTCATCACTGCTACCTACACATTGACTCAGATCTGTCCCCCACTTCGATATCTTTTGAAAACCATCGCTGGGCTGTCTTCATCCTAAAGGTGCTCGTAAACGAATCTGATAATTTCCTAAAGGACCACTGGGTTCCTCTAACACCCTCCTGTAGCATCAGAAGTGCCTCCTTATTCCCTCCTCAAACATTGAATTTGCTGAAACTTTGTTTGGTAAGAATAAAAAGTATTCCACATAGCTGCGCCACATTTCTGGAATCTCGTTGGTGCTCATCTCCAGATTGGTTACCTCCCTTTACTCCCCCTCTTTATTGAAACTACGAAAAAACATACTACGTAAACATTTTTTTCTTTTACCAGGTAAGGCCCACTGAGCTTCTATACAGCTCTTTTTCAGATGCGACTTGGCTATCACACATTATAGCTCAACGAAGTGGCTTATCGAGTGTAAATCTATAGCAGCCAAATACTCTAAACGCGTGACGTTCATTCTAAATGTGGAGGGAAACACCGGAGGACCTGGAGAAAAGTCCACGCGACCACGGGGAGGAGAGAGAAAGACACGCAAACTCCAAATATACAGCAGCAGGCATCAGCGTCGGGATCAAACCCAGGTCCTCCCGTATACCAGGCGAGGTAGTTAACATCTCGCCACGGTGACGCCCCATACGTCTTTGAGACCAACAAACAGAGCATATTTGCACCTCTACCAAACCTTTTCTGGCGCCACTTGCTCTCATATTTGCAATGGCTTTTCGATTCGCACGTGTTTAGTTTACAGCCATCAAACACCTCGTTGGCTAGTTGTGCAATATTCCTGAAGGACCCTGCAACTCGTTCTCTGCAGGAGTGATCTTCTTGTCTTTTGTTGCTGCTGTGCTCACGAACCACGGATCTGCCGTGTGAAATAGCCGAGCAACTGGCTGAACGTGACCATCCGTGTAGAGATTCTAATGAACTGGAACATCGTTGGCAGGTGAAATTCTAAACGTCCCTGTGCTTTCCCAGCAACCCTGCACTGTGCAGCATGGCAAAGTATGGTCAAACAAATCCCCTGGTATGGACAGACCATCATTCAGCAGTTGAATGACAAAGGGATGTACATTTTCATTGTATTATTATTAACACATTCCTGCGGAGGGAGCTGGTAGGAACGTTGGGTTGCTCGGTCAATGGCCAGGGTCAACGGCGGCGTGGTTTATTCCGCAAATATGCCCGGCTGTGAAGGCGGGCACAAGCCTCCGTGAGTAGGTTAAACGTTGAGTTTTATAAGGGCACCACGGGGTGACCAGCCCCTCCCACCCAGCCCCACCCCTCCCACCCCCCACCCAGCCCCACCCTCCCCACCCAGCCCCTCCCCACCCTCCCCTCCCCACCCAGCCCTATCCCCACCCAGCCCCTCCCTACCCTCCCCTTTCCACCCAGCCCCACCCCTCCCATTGTTGGATGCACGACAGACGGACGGACACAATAATTCCCTGTGGGCTGGTGTAACCAGGCGGTTCCTACCAGTATTATCATCATCATCACCACCATAGCTCCCGTTAACGTGCCGTTCTTGTTCTTGTTGTTGCCGTGCAGCGCCGGAGCCAAAGGCCGGGTTCGTGTGGCCCAGGCCCCCAGCGGCGCTGCAGGAATCGGAGAAACCGCGGCCTTGGAACCCCGCGGGGACCCCACCGCCACCGCCGTCGGCACCGCCACCGCCGCTGCGCTCCCGCCAGCCAGCGGCGCGCCGCAAGCGCTGCTCGTGCGCGTCGCTGCTGGACCGCGAGTGCGTCTTCTTCTGCCACCTCGACATCATCTGGATCGACACGCCCAGGTGAGACGGCTAGCAGATGTCGACTACCTCGCCTGGTGCACAGGAGGTCGTGGGTTCGATCCCGACCCCTGACGGCCTGTTGTACTTGAAGTTTGCGTGTCTCACTCTCCCCGTTGCCGCGTGGATTTTCTCCGGGTGCTCTGGTTTTCCTCTCCGCATTTAGAATCAACATCACGCGTTTAAAAGTATTTGCGTGCTATAAATTTCCACGTGATCAGCGACTTTGTTGAGCTATCATTTGTGATAGCCAGGTCGCTCCTGAAAATTGCTGAAGGTTTCTTGCTGTGGTTGTCGCACCCTGATGACGGACGCTTGTGTTGCGCCCGAAACGTCGAGGTTTAATTTAATTTATTTTATACCTACGTGACTTTACCGAAAGAACCAAAGAGTATGGAGTCACGAAAACTTCAAATCTAGATTGAAGTATAGCGTAGGCCAGGGGTCGGCAACCAAAATAACAAGAAGAGACATTTTTCTAGAATTCGATAAACATAAAACCCCCCGCCATATTTCAAGCGCCTCAATGCCTGTGACCACGAGACGGTGGGCCTCATCAATGACGTCGCGAAGCAGCCCTCGAAAAGACGCACGCGGCTCTGAAGCCGCAGCTTGCCGACCCATGGTGTGGGCTGATGCCCTATCCTTGCAGCAGGCAGAGAGAGACACAGAAACGCCACGCGAATGTCGCATTCGCTTAGCCAAGGGGACCGGGCCCTGCCAAGGGCACACGGGGACACGGGGACAGGGGCCGACACCGCTCCTCCTCCTCTCCGTCACGCGCGCATCCCACGAGCATGAAACGCGCGACTCCATACGCTGGTGCTGTAGAGCCCCCCCCCCCCCCCCCCCCGGAGGTGACGGGGAAACTCCGCACGCGGAATCCCTCTGTGACAACGCGAGGACCCAGCAGACCCCCGATTAGCACGCTTTCAGATGCACTTCTGCGGCCGTCTGGAATGCTCTTCCTTCCGGTAATAGGAAGCCACTGGAGCTATGCACTTTAAAATGATCATCTAGATCAGGGGTCGGCAACCAAAATAACAAGAAGAGCCATTTCTTTCCAATTCGGTACAAAATTCAGTATTTCAAGAGCCGCAATGCATCTGAGTACATACGTACTCATCGTCAAGAAGCAGCCCGTAAAGAGCCGCATGCGGCTCCGGAGCCGTAGGTTGCCGACCCCTGCCCGTAGGTTGCCGACCCCTGATCTAGATTGATAAACTCATTTCTCTAGAACTGCTTTTTGTGTCAAGCTTGCTGTCCTTCCCCCGCACCTCCGATTCGCACGGCTGGCTACGTACGGCACGAAAGAAGTTCAGCACACATGCGTACAGTCGTACGTACGTTCGACAATAGCACCGTGGCCTTGTAAAGTCAAATGTGTTCAAGGCAGTGCTATTGACGAACGCGTTGCGTTGTTTTGCTATTCGTGTTTGCGCAAGAATCCCATCGCAGGGGCAGAATCGCCGCATAGTTTGAATAAGTGACGTGGATCGTTGCAAATGTGCACACCCCATTCCATCGGCATCCACACTCAAACATCTGTTGCCGAGCCTCCTTCGTGTTAAAAGGATTACGCTGCCCTTGTGGGTCCGTTCAATCACAATGTTTTGTTGTTTATCTCTGCACCGCCAGGGTTGGACCGAACAACTGAGCAACCCGAATTAGGCCAGTAAGCCAGTTGCTGCGTTTTGGCCCCTTCACCCTCGGCTCGAATACAATCTCGACTCAGATCGGCGGGCGACTGAATGAATTCGGGCCAAGTGGATCGCACTTGACTAAAACGGTCGGATTTCTCGGGGCTCATTCCCCATCGCTCAGTGGCCGAGTCTTAACTCTGCACAAATCCACCCCCCGTGTGGCGTCAATTACTCCACACCTGTGCACCCCCCGCATCCCGCCCACACCACCCACACACACGAGACGCCAACACCACCCACACACACGAGAGACACCCACACACGAGACACCCACACCACCCACACACACGAGAGACACCCACACCACCCACACACGCGAGACGCCCACACCACCCACACACACGAGAGACACCCACACCACCCACACACGAGACACCCACACCACCCACACACGAGACACCCACACCACCCACACACACGAGACACCCACACCACCCACACACGAGACACCCACACCACCCACACACGAGACACCCACACCACCCACACACGAGACGCCCACACCACCCACACACACGAGAGACACCCACACCACCCACATACACGAGAGACACCCACACTACCCACACACGAGAGACACCCACACCACCCACACACGAGACACCCACACCACCCACACACACGAGACGCCCACACTACCCACACACGAGACACGCACACCACCCACACACGAGACACCCACACCACCCACACACGAGAGACACCCACACCACCCACACACGAGACACCCACACCACCCACACACACGAGACGCCCACACCACCCACACACGAGACGCCCACACCACCCACACACACGAGAGACGCCCACACCACCCACACACGAGACACCCACACCACCCACACACGAGACACGCACACCACCCACACACACACGAGACACCCACACCACCCACACACGAGACACCCACACCACCCACACACACGAGACACCCACACCACCCACACACGAGACACCCACACCACCCACCCACACACGAGAGACACCCACACCACCACACACGAGAGACACCCACACTACCCACACACGAGAGACACCCACACCACCCATACACACGAGAGACGCCCACACCACCCACACACGAGACACCCACACCACCCACACACACGAGACGCCCACACTACCCACACACGAGACACGCACACCACCCACACACGAGACACCCACACTACCCACACACACGAGAGAAGCCCACACCACCCACACACGAGACACCCACCCCACCCACACACGAGACGCCCACACCACCCAGTCCCGTGCTCGTGGGGCCGTGCCAGCTTGACCCAGACTCCAGCGCACGAGATCCGCCGCGTCGTTCACTCTGTGTGTTGCACGCACGTCCGTACGTGCAACTTCTTTCGCACCAGTACGTAGCCATCCGTGCTAATTGGAGGTGTGCGGGGAAGGACAACAATATAGACACCAAAAGCAGTTTCAAAGACATTATTGATCGATCGAGATGATTTGAAAGTGCATTGTTCCGGAGGCTTCCTATTGTCGGAAGTAAGAAGTATCGGGATTTGTATGAGAGCCAATTCACACCGCCTGGCCTCGTATGCGCGTGCGTACGTGTGGAACTTCTTTCGCACCGTACGTCGTCACCCATGGCCTCACCACCTCCTTGTAACCTTGGGCGTATCTGAAGTCATATACAAGTGAGTCACAGTGACGTCCTATACACGTGCATCACAGTGACGTCATATACACGTGAGTCAGTGATCTGCGCAAATGACTTTGGAAGCATTGGCACTCACCTTCCGTCTCTACAGCCCTGCAGAGCAAGTGGCGAACATTCCACATTCCTATGGTGAGGAAGAGTTTTTTTCCACAGTACAAGTCCTACTCCCACTTCATCGGCCCCACCGGAGGGACGACGGGGTGAGTCAACCCCCAACCAGGGATTGAACTCGCGACGTTCCTCTCGCGAGCCAGGGAGAGGGGATTGACCCCTGACTGAAACGTTGCGGCGAGCACCTGGTGGCCGTTGCTCCCCGGTGGAGACAAACCCAAACATCGCCCTTGCGCTGCTTGGCTTCTCGTTTTGTTTTGGTGACATCACTTCCCTTCCTCACCCCTCTGCTTCCCCATGAAGCTGTACGCGGTCGATCACTGCCCTCCCGAGGTGGCCCTCCCACGGTGGTAGGGCAGTGAGTCCAGGGGCCTCCGGACGGACCCCCCACCGCCCACCATTTGAGGAGTGCGTTGTTTCTGGGTGTTCGTTACACGTTCTGCATCTCCCCCTCTGCGATGTTTGAGTTTTGGGTTCTGGAATAAAAAACACAAAATCTTGTGGAGAGCGACGGTCACAATCTCAATCTTGATTTGAAGCTTTCGTGACTGCAGGAATCCATAGTCTTTGGTTCTTTCGGTGAAGTTCCAAAAAATCCAGCAGTCCCACCGCTGGTTTTTTTTTCTTCCACCTGAGGACGACCGCTCGTGTTGCGATCGAAACGTCGTGATATGTTATTTTTTGTTTTATTTAATTTTTTCTACCTACGTCACTTTACCGAAAGAACCAAAGACCACGGTCACAATCTCCTTCCCCGCCACTCGCTGAACCTCGGCGCTCACGCGTCCCCGTTTCCCCTGGCCGCCTTGCAGGAGCCTCGTGCCAACGGGGCTGTCCGAGAAGACGCGGGCGCGTAGGGGAGCCGCCGCCGAGGGGCTGCGTGCGGGCGGCCGGGGCAGCCGCTGCCGGTGCTGCTCCGGCAGCGAGGACTGCGGCCTGCGCTCTGCTCTGCGCGTCCCCGGCTCAGAGCCGCGACCTCTCAAGGTGACCCCGTCGGCGAGGCTGCCACTGCGTTTCGCCGGTGCTAATGGTGGCGGAAGAAATATCCGCGGTCTGTTGGGACACCTTTTTATGGACGCAATCATAATAATAATAATAGTAACATCCTCTGTTTTATAAAACGACTTTCGTATTGAAGTATCTCAAAGCTCTGTACGTAAAAGTAAAACTACGCAATCGGAAGCTCCGTGGTCGACTTATCTCAAGGGTGAGCGTCACAACTCATCGTTGACTCGCGCGGGGTGGTGCACTGCTAGCTGCAACGATGATGCACGTCCACGATTCCATCTCTCTTACATGATCTCAATACCACAACTGCATTGTTACTTTTATTTATCATGGACCCATCGTACAAGAGGCTTGTTATTCAGCCATAAATTGTCCTATTGGTTTAGTTCCCGATCGGTAATGGCACGGTGGAATCGTTTGACCTGCATGGTGCGCAGGTTCATGCGCCCTCGATCCTCAATTAAAAGAGCTCTCGGTTATTTGGTCTACTTTCCCATATTGACCAGACGTGTGTATATGTGCGTATGTTGAACTTCTTTCGCACCGTGCGTCGCCAACTGTGCTAATGGGATGTGTGCGGGGAAGAGGTGGGGGGGCGAACCCACATTTTACGCCACCGCACCGCGCACGACCTGCTGATTTGGCCGCGGCGAAGCCACGAACGCCGCTGCTTGGGGGGACAGAGGCGGCGGTGGGGGCTTTAATGAACCTCTGCCCCTTCGCTTCAGCCGCCGCGCCGGGAGATAGAATCCGACCGGCGACCTCAGCACCGCAGATTCCGGCGCGGTCAGCACGGCACAACAGCCGTTGAGTCCCACTTGACGAGCGACGAATGTGTCGCTTTTTCTTTTTTGGCGAGATATTAATACACGCCACGACTTGTATTGACATTAAGCATGGGGCGCGGCGGTGGCTAGGAGATGTTAACTACCTCGCCTGGTATACAGGAGGTCGCGGGTTCGATCCCGACCCTGGCGCCTGCTGCTGTATATTTGAAGTTGACGTGTTCTCCCCACATTTAGAATCAACATCGCGCGTTTAGAGTATTTGGCGGCTAGACATTACCACGTGATGACAAGCCACTTCGTTGAGCTATCATTGTGGCCAGGTCGCTTCCTAAAAAGAGCTATACAGCTCAGTGGACCTTACCTGGTAAAATAAAAAAACAGTTTAGTTTATATTTAGTTTAGTTTAATACATGCCATGGCTTTTATTGAGACCCATACATGCCACAGTAAACCGGTAAACGTTTTTTTGCTCTTTCATGATGGCCAAAAAATCAAATAACCCCCCGCAAATCATAGACTTAAGCAACATAATTCTGTCCACGTAATTTAAGGCGTTTTTTTTTCAACGCTTAACTTTCATCAGATGTGAATCGCACACCACCTACTACAACACACCTTCTCAACAACATTAACAAACTGCATTTGATTCAATTCGTTTTTGTTTTACCGACAGATGATCCTCCCGACCTGTGAACAACAAAACGTGGACCTGCCGACCGGACACCTCACCGCCGGTGGCCACATATTTATTGTGGGACGGCGTTCGCGCCGGAGCCGAGACGCCGCGTGCATTGCGTTTCACAAAAATCCGAGGAATTCCCAAAAAGCCTCCATCGCAGCCTCCAGCCAAGATCAAAACGTGTTGTGTGTGAAAGGCTCGCGGCCGCCAGATAAGGCGGGCGGGTGTCTGTGAATGAAAACCACGCAGGCTTTTACAAGAAGAGAATACGGAGCAGGTGTTCCAAGTGAATATGCATTTCTCAGAAGGCAGAAGTGGTAACGCCCGCGCCGCACAGCAATGAGGACCCCGGGTTCGATTCCCGACTCGGGCGCCACCCTTGTGGTGTTTGTGTGTTCTCCCTCTCTCTCTCTTTGCCCCTGTTCTGCGAGGAATTCCTCTGGGTTCCCCAATTTCCTCGCATGGCTAAAAGAACTCGCACACAGTGCCACTGGTATTGGCCACACGTCCCAATACTGAAACATTTCCTGCAAATCGTTCAGTTGGGATTGTACATTAGCAGCAGCAGGAACATCGCCTCTCTCTCCCGACTGCGAAAACTTGGCAGGACCTGCATGAACACATCAGTGCGCTCAGGTAGACTGTGTTACACCCACAATGCATCTTCATAGGATCCACGGGGGATCCCATTATATGAGCAATGCACCCTCTAGCTACGAGTAGTACTTACTGTCGTAGTATTTACCAAGACAAATACACTTCCGCGGTACCAACAGCATATTTGTTTGGGGTGTAATGTCTAGGATAGTATCATGAACTGTATCCGAGTTGCGAGCCTACCAGAACCCTCCGCCCTCCCTCCCCCATATCGCCCTGAGCAGCAGAGCCTCACACTGCCCTGGAGGATACATACGCGTCACGTGTGTATGCTGAACTTCTTTCGCGCCGTACATAGCCAACCGCGCCAATCGGAGGATGCTGCCCGTTTGTACCACATCAATTGAGTATCGAACGGGCACGCGTCTTACACGCGTGGGACCTTGCGGCAGTCACGTGGTCTGGTCACGTGGTCTGGTCGCGGGCTCTGGCAGCGTGCGTTTCGTGTAGTCGTGGGTGACTGAACTGCAGCTGCCGACGACACTTGTGAACAAATCGTCTGGATTCGTGCCCAGAAGGTCGACCGTGAATGTTCATTCGGGTACGCATGTGGAACTTCTTTCGTACCTACGTCGCCAAAACGTGCCGATCGGAGGGCGCTGTGACGCAACTGTGATGGACACCCCCGAGGCATTCGGGGACACGGCAGTTTCGATGTGTTCTCTTCGTGACGCAGACATGAAGAAACGCCACAAGCCACAAACTTTGCCGATGATATATTATGCACGGTCAAGAGCCATCGCTCGGGGTAACACGGACAATCGGGGGGGGGGGGGGCCGCCCCGGGCCCCGCGCTTTGGGGGCCCCACCGCGGCTTCGATGTCAAAGTGTGAGATGTGAAGCCTCCGGTTTAGCTTGAAGGCGTCGGGGGAGCCGACAGTGTGATTTCCCCCGGGGCCCCGCACCGCCCTACGGACGGCCCCGTATACATGTTGTATGTTATGTTTCATGTCTTTTAGTGCCGCAGATTTATCGACGAATTCGATGAGTCTGCGTCGCTCGTGCACCAGGGTCGACGCGGCGGCGGCAGCGGCAGCGGCGGCGGCATTGTCGCGGGGCAGAATTTGTTTTCACGTTCCGAGGGGTTTTTCTGCAAAGAGAGAGAAACCAACGAACGTGGACAGGTTTTAAACCCCAGTGACGTGATCATCGCATTGCTAGTCCACCAGGGCTTCCGGTTCGTTTCAGACGCGCTGCCTCTGCGGCCGTCTGGAACGCTCTTCCTGCCGATATTAGGAAGCCATTGGGAGCTGTGCACTATTACATCTAAATCGATAACTCATTTCTTTAGAACCGCGTTTTGTGTTTGGTTTGTTGTCCTTTCCCCGCACCTCCGAATATCACGGTTGGGTGGGTACGGTGCGAAAGAAGTGAAACGTGCATACGTACGTACACACTTCTCTTACCCAATTAGAACAGCAACAATTCCCCTCCAGATGCAGATGCCTACGCACGCTTCCTCTGACCTCCCCTCCTTGGGTTGGAGGCACGTGACCCACTCTGCCAAACCGCCACCAGCTCGCCTGGCTCAGGACGAAATTCAAAGAGGGCATTCTTGAACAAAATCCAAATCCAGAGGTTGGAAAGTGTAAAGTTACACTTCTCGTTATGAATAAATGGGGGCGCTGCGGTGGCTAGGAGATGTCTCCCATGCCTGGTATGCAGGAGGTCGTGGGTTCAATCGCGACGCTGACGCCCGCTGCTGTGTATTTGGATACGCTCTGATTCTTTCGGTAAAGTCACGTAGGTCGATAAATAAAATAAAAATTAAAGAAAAATAATCATTACTAATATTTATTTCATTTTTCTACCTACGTGGCTTTACCGAAAGAACCAAAGAGTATGGATTCCTGTAGTCACGAAAGCTTCAAATCAAGATTGTATATTTGGAGTTTGCGTGTCCCTCTCTCCCCGTGGTCACGTGGATTTTCTCCGGGTCCTTCGGTTCATCCCCTCCACAGTTACTAAATGTTAAGCTGCTTTGTTGAGCTATCATTTGTTGGCAGGTCGCTTCTGAAAAAAATCTAATAAGTCAGAGGGCTTTACCTGGTAATTAAAATAGTAAAACAAAAAATCCGACAAAAGTAATATTTAAAAAAACGTTTTTAAAAACACGCTTTAATTAAATGTACCCCACTAGTAATGGAAGAAGTCCACGACTCCAGGAAGTGGCCCCGAAGCTTGCCACAACGTAAGGGACCGTGGTGATTTACAGCCAACGTCAGTTGAGCGTGGACAATTAGACCCAAGCCGAAACATAACATATAAAAAAGATGCATTAAAATGTTTTTATTTCATTTTTATGATAGAATAAAGTCCATTCGATGTGTTAGTGAATTTTTTATATTTTAGGCAGGAAATTCTTTTCAAATTTAGATTTTTTTTTTCTGGGGGTAGACCCCCAGACTTCCTGGAAGATTTGGTCCCCCCCCAATGTTGACTCCATGGCTACGGCCTTGAAGGGCATCACTTCTGCTACAGCTATAATTGGAACCCAGTGGCTGACATTGCTTTACTTGGTTAAAACATCGACTTCAGACATCGAGTGCATGAATCCATGAACCTTGGTCCTGCTTTGCTGTTTTATAACTCCAGTGAACATAACGTAATATATTTCTTCGTGCACGAGCGCCTTATTTGTGTTCATTAAACGTTGTAAGTTTCTACGGATGTGCGTCTTCTGAAACGTTCGCGTGACGCGTCACTAAATTTGTTTTGCAGTCGATCCACAAATGGGAATCTCGCTCGATCCCACGATCTAGCTGCCGTATGTACTTGCCGTACAGCTACTCCGCCGCGAGGCTACTCTTGCCGTACGGTTACTTTCCTAACAATACTTCAGATGAAGCGACCAGAGCAAATTACAGTTATAGATGAACGTGTGGATGTTGAACTCCTTTCGCATCGTACGTAGCCAATCGCGCTGAATCAGGAGGCGCGTGGGGTGTGGGGGGAGAACGATAAACTAAAGACCAAAAGCATTTGTCAGGAAGTGGATTTCCAATTTAGATTTAAGAGTGCAGAGCTCCCAATGGCTTCCTAATATGGGAAGGAAGAGCGTTCCAGACGGCCACAGAAGCGCATCTGACAGCGCCGCGCGTTGCGGTGACCACCACCTTTGTACGATGAATGGGTCAATAGCCACTGAGAATAGATCGACCCATTGGGTACCTCCGTGCGGCAGAGTGCTCGATTAGTCCATCTCAAACACTTAACGCTGATCGCCGCAGCCAATGAACCAATCACAAGCGGAACGCCTTGTGCAGGGATTTAGCAATGCGCACGGAGATGTGCGTTGCATGAACAAAAGCTATCGGCCTTATCGGGACATTGATGGCCGTACTGCACTGATGAGTCCTAACGAGGGACGACTTTGGTCGACGGTTGTGTCCTTGTTGCACTGCTGCCTGTTATCTTGCAATGGCCACATTTCCCCAACTCTTCGGGGGTGTGGGGGTGGAGGTGGAGCCCAGTTCTTGTCAACCGTTCTCACTCCACGTGGCACTCGCGCCTTCGAGCTCGCCGCCACACAGAACCAGAGAGAGAAATAATAGCCGTGGGCCGTTCATCCAGCAGTGGATTGGTCATGGCTGACGACGACGATGTGTGTGTGTCTGTGTGTCCGCGCGCGTCTCTTTCTCAAGCGATGCGCAGCTACGGACGGACTTGGTGCCGTCACGGAAATGAATATTTTTTTAAAATATGTAAATAAATACATATATTTGTAGCACAACATTTAACAAGTCCGCGATCGCGTTGAGAGGCTCTCGCCTCGGTCACGCCGTGCTCCCCAGGAGCCTCGCCGCCGCGACTCGATTACAACCGCGGACGCTTCAAGCCCGAGTTGAACCCCACGCCCGGTGAATTCAAGAGGAGGGGGGAGGTTTGTGTGTGTGCGTTTGTGTGTGTGCGTGCATGTGTGTGCGTGCTGAGTGCGTGTGTGTGTGCGTGTATGTGTGCGTGTGTGCGTTTGTGTGTGCGTGTGTGTGTGCGTGTGTGCGTGTGTGTGCTGAGTGCGTGTGTGTGCATGTGTGTGCGTGTGTGTGTGCGTGTATGTGTGCGTGTGTGCGTTTGTGTGTGCGTGTGTGTGTGCGTGTGCGTGTGTGCGTGTGTGTGCTGAGTGCGTGTGTGTGCATATGTGTGCGTGTGTGTGCGCGTATGTGTGTGCATGTGTGTGCGTGCGTGAGTGTGTGTGTATGTGCGTGTGTGTGCGTGTGTGTGCATGTGTGTGCGTGCGTGTGTGTGTATGTGCGTGTGTGTGCGTGCGTGTGTGCGTGTGCCGGATGTGTGCCCGTGTGTGTGTGCGTGTGTGTGCGTGTGTGCGTGTGTGCATGTGTGTGCTGAGTGCGTGTGTGTGCATGTGTGCGTGTGTGTGTGCATGTGTGTGTGTGCGCGTGTGTGTGCGTGTGTGTGTGCATGTGTGTGCGTGCGTGAGTGTGTGTGTGCGCGTGTGTGCGTGTGTATGTGCGTGCGCGTGTGTGTGCGTGTGTGTGTGTGCGTGTGTATGTGTGTGTGCTTGTGTATGTGTGTGTGCGTGTGTGCGTGTGTGTGCGTGTGTATGTGCTTGCGTGTGTGTGTGCGTGTGTGCGTGTGTGTGTGTGCTTGTGTATGTGTGTGCTTGTGTATGTGTGTGTGCGTGTGTGCGTGTGTGTGCGTGTGTATGTGCTTGCGTGTGTGTGCTTGCGTGTGTGTATGTGTGTGTGTGCGTGTGTATGTGTGTGTGCTTGTGTATGTGTGTGTGCGTGTGTGTGTGTGCGTGTGTGTGCGTGTGTATGTGCTTGCGTGTGTGTGCTTGCGTGTGTGTATGTGTGCGTGTGTGTGTGGGGAGTGGTGGTGTAGCGGTTAGCGCTACGCTGCGCTCCGAACCCGGCGTCCCGAGTTCGATTCCCGCTCACGGCAAACACCACCAGTGACAATTATCTGAACAGGTCCTGGGCCTTCCCTAGGTCGACTCAGCCTCAAACGAGTACCTGGTGGAGACAAAGGCGGCCGGGCGTGGTGATGGCCACCCACCCCCTCGTGTGCCGTTCCGGCCTTCATAGGGGCTCGCTAACAGCACTTGCCCCAACCAAGCCCGTTCGAGGCGAATGTGTTTCTCAATTCGAAAAAAATATCACGTGACACCTGGGGCTTGCGAAGCACTGGGTCTAAAACGCCAACACGGCTCCTACACGTTCAGTTCTTTTGAGCAGGTGATCTGGATAAGGCCGAGAGGTGTTTTTTCTCTCTCTCTCCTGTCCGTGAGACGGTGCACACGCATCTCTCTGTGTGTGTTGTCGAGGCTGAAGTAACACTCGGGTTTGGCCTGTCGCCGCTACCTCTGGAGCGGCACGACGCTCGCGTGAAGAATGTTTCTGGCGGCGGGACTCACCACGGCTGCTTGGCGGTGACCCTTTCATTCCACCCTGGACTTCGGTGGGAGCGGGGGGGGGGGTTAGAAAGATGCCCAGTGGGGTTTCCTCGCACACGCGGCAGATACTCGGGAGAGGAAACGCTCAATCTTGATTTAGACAACAACTACAAATGTAGTTGTCTTAAAAAGAAGAATCAATAAAATCGATTTAGAGGAATTCATATTCTTTGGGCCTTTCTGTAAAGTCACGTAGATAGGTTATTTGAACCCGACCACGTGACTTTACCTAAAGACCCAAAGGATATGAATTCCTATAGTCACGAAAGCTTCAAGTCAAGATTTGATTTAGAGGCAGACAATTAAGAGGTCCCACGTGACATCGTTTGTCGATGTCATGTTGCGGGGTAGGTGGAGAGGAGGTGGGGGGGGGGCCATACACGGACCCTCTAAGAGCGGCTGCTGACTGCCCCAGTGGACGTTGGGCTGATATATTGAATGAGTGAACGTGCTTTAGGAGCAGCAGCAGCAGCGGGCAGCCGACAAACGCGCAGGTATGTTCGCTGTATTCCTGGAATTCAGCACCTTTCAGCTGAAACTTGAAAGGCATTCCCAAATTCCTGCCGAGCTTTAATCTATTAATGGTGCAATGTGCTCTGTGATTTGTGGCGTGTAAGTCATTGGAATTGTCATTGGAATTTGTGATGCTGCTTGCTAACTGCGCTTGATCAGAAAATACAGAATGCGAGTTAGGAGCAGGGCTTCCATTACGTTGAGCAGAATGAAACAAGGTGAGAGTGCACTCGGCACACCACATCAAGTATACG